TTCCCCTCTGCGACAGTTTCACTAAGCCCAGGCTGGCCTTGAACTCCGAATCCTCCCATTCTTCCAGTGCTGGATCACAAGTGAGCGCCTCCACACCCAGCACTGTGACACTGTTACTAGGAACAGAAAATGGGCTTAAGGCAGCAGGTGTTCCGGCTGTCGAAAGCAAGACCTTCATACCTGTTACTCCACCGTCAGTCTGACCTGGCTTCAAACAATGAACCAACTATAAGGTGAAATTAATAAAGATACGAATAAAATCCTCTCTGAAGATGCCCATTGTCATAGTGCATGTGTGGAGACTATGGGGGCAACTCAGATACTGAGCAGCAAGGTGGCATTTTTTTGTGTCATTCCAAAAGCTCGTCACCAAATGTGAAATGGAGAGAGCATCGTGTGAGGTGGGCACATTCTAACTACACAGTGGCTATAGTTACACACTAAATAAATGACTACGGCTGGAAGGACAGAACATTTGCACTCTTTTAAGTCATATTCTGCCATTAGTCAGTGGGGTTGTTTGGGGGCAAACCCCTTAACTTTCTGAGCCTCAGATACCTGGTCTAGGAGTTGGGGAGTTTGGATTCAATGGCCTCTTTTCCTTGCTTTATTTAAATTATTTATGATTGATGTAAAAAATGTACACATCATCCTAGTTTTTTATGTGAACAGAGTGAGTCCCAGTTAATGAAGAAACCATGTTCCAGGGGATTTACAAAGGCAGCCACTATCATATTTTCAGATTTTCTCCATCATACGGTACTTCCCACATTACATATTTTTAGAAGCTGGTATGGAAATATGTAGCAGATGGGGAGAAAAGTAGAACCCTCAATCCCCCTCAAATGCAGCAATGCATTTGAGGGAGATTTAGCTGTCTGCTCCCAAAGCACTTTATCATGGAGTAACAACAGTTCTCAAGTCATTAGGGTGCTTTATCCACACGTGCCCAGGAACGATTTCAAATTAAGGTATGGCTGCTCTGAGCTATTTAAACCTATAGCTCTGGGGCAGGCTGCTTCATGTGCAGGGACAAAGGTTCAACACACGGGTTCATTCACTTCTGCTTGAGTAAAAAACAAACAAGCAAACAAAAACTCAACGTCTTTCCTTTCTCCAAAATTAAGAAAAAAAAGAAGTCCTTAAAAATGATGTGGCACACTGCCGAGGCCAAGGTTCGATTCCCGGTCAGGGAAGCACGCTCTTCTTGAGCTGGAGAGATGGCTCAGTCGTTAAAGGCTAGGCTCACAACATGACTGCTCTTCCAGAGGTTCTGGGTTCAATTCCCAGCACCCACATGGCAGCTCACAACTGTCTGTAACTCCAAGATCTGACATCTTCACACAGACATACACACAGGCAAAGCACCAATGCAATTAAAATAATAATAAAAAATGATGGGGTGGGAGAAATGTCAAAATACATAGTAGCTGGGCATGATGAGATACGCTTGTAATCCTGGCACTCGGGGGTGGGGGTGGGGCAGAAGCAGGCTTTGTTTCATGAGACTCCAACAACACTCATATACTTACAATTGATCTTACACAGGGCACGAGAAGTGATGAGACAGAACATGGGCTTTCAACTCATAAATAAAAGTCTCTTAGTCAACCAGGCTCCCTCTGAAATGCCCTCAACTATCCAGAACCTTCTAGGAGGTTGCAGATTCTTAGTTTAGAATACTTTCTGGGTCATGAGAGAAAGGGGTCAAGGGTAATAGGGCCCCTCATAGACACCCTTCCAAAACACAACATCAGGGCTCCAACATCTTAGATCTCCGAGCTACTGCATGTGTGCATGTGCATACACGCAGAAACATGTATGGCTGCAAAGCTGAAACTTAATGGAATTGACAAACAGACAGCATCGGGGTGGAGCCTGCAGCTTAAGTCCTTCCAGTATAGGAAACCTCACTGGCCTGAACACAGACAGCACTGATAGATGGACAGCTCCTTCTCATCCCTATGGGTGGGAGTGCATGGCTATTCCTAGTTGGTGGAGCAATTTGTCTGGTTAATTCCACTAATGAATGAGATTCTGGCATGCTAACCCCAAACTTGTTCCCCAACAAATTTATGGGAGTATTTCACTGTTCTGAGAACTTACAGGATGGCATTGCCTCATTTACAGGATTGGAATTGCCTCCAAAGAGGGAGAGGAAAGATGAACCCTAACCCTAACCTGATTGTAGGAGTCAGAGGAGATGGAAGAGACCAGGAGAGCATGGCCTATTAATCAACTAAGCAGGGCTCATATGGGCTTGGAGAGACTGAAGTATGGGACCTGCACGGGTCTGCACCAGGATCTCTGTATATACGTTATGGCTGATAGCTTGATGTTTTTGTGGGATTCCTAAGAGTGGGAGCAAGTGTACCTCTGACTTTTTTGCCTGCTCTTGGGACTCTTTTCTCCCTATCAGGTTGCCTTCTTCAGCTCAACCAGAGTTTTTTGCCTTGTCTCATTGTAACTCATTTTGTCCTATTTGGTTGTCTCCTGGAGGCCTGCTCTTTTCTGAAATGGGGGAGGAAGGATCTGGGGAGAATGGGAGGTGGGGAAGGGCTTGGAGAAGTGGACGGAGGGGAAACTGTGGCTGGGATGTATGAGACAAGAATCTATTTTTAAAAAGCAGCAGCCTGCAGGTGGTATATTTTTGAGAATTGTCTCAGATATTCTCATAGTCCAAGTGAGTCTCACTTCCAGCTGCTTTGAAAATTTCAAAAATGGTTGTCTGGCAGCAGGGGAGATGGCTGGCTGTAAGTACTTGCCAAGCAAGCATGAGGATCTGAGTTCAAAACCCACTCTCACATAAAAAAAATGCAATGATTTGTTTTGTAACTCCAGTGAAAAGGAGGTGGGGTACAGGATGCCTGAGGTTTGCTGGCCAGCTCCAGGTTCAATGAGACCTTGTTCAGTAATAATACTAATACTAATAATACTGGAGAGATGATTCAGCAATTAAGAACAGTAGATGCTCTTCCAGAAGACCTGGGTTCAATTCTCAGCACCCACATAAAGGCTCAGAACTGTCTATAACTCTAATCCAAGAGGATCCAATGTCCTGGCCTCCATGGGCACCAGGCATGCATGCAGTGCACAAATATAGATGCAGACAAAACACCTACACACATAAACAAAATTAAGAGTAATAAAAAATAAGATGGAGAGCGACTATGGACCTCTCCTGCAGGCATACATGTCCACCCACACATACACGTGCACACACACACGAGTCAAATGTACACAACACACAGTTGTATGTGCTATTTCCTGAGGCTACCTGCTTGTAGTTCGTCTCAGCATTACTCAACATGGCAAATTACCTAGTTCATCATATTTGGCTTGGTGGATGACTTCTGCTCTCCCTCCCAATAACATCTGTCCTCCCTCAAACACTGGTTTGGCATGGAGAGGACATATTGTTGTGACTTTTAAGATGATCCTGAAAGCAAGACCCAAAGAAGATAACAACATGGGCCAAGCAAGACATTGAGCGACAGGGACACTGAGAATTATCACCCGTCTGGTACAGATGGACTGTCCCCGTTACAGTAACACTGTGGCCCAGGATAGGAGCTAAGGGATACAGCCTGAGATTCCCAGGTGACAAAGGTGCCTTAGTTGAGTGGTGACTGAGGTTAGATTTACTGCTGTTGGTGAAGCCCAGGTTAAAAATGGGGATGTAATCTCTCAGGGCTGTGGGGATGGCTCAGGGTAAAAGGTCTGCTGTGCATGCCTGGAGACCTGAATTCACTAAAAGTCAAAACCGCCATGAAAGGGACCAGGAAATCTTTTGGGAGCATCACTTCCGCTTTATCAGAGATGACAGATGCCTAGGCACTTGCTTCGGGTATATGCTACACAGCCTTGTCTGTTGGAACCACGGGCCCTAGAATGGTGGGAAAGCCTTTAAGAAGTGAGACCTATGGAAGATAATTAGGACCTGAGGGGCACCGTGCTCAGCAGATACTAATGCAGTTCCCCTAGAACCTGGCTATTTCCCAGGACAAGAGGTTGTTAGGAAGAACAAATTTAGCCCTTAATTGCTCCCTTGCTATCTTGCCATTCGATTCTCTACCAACCCTGGCTGCATACAGCTGATCTTCATTTATTATAACAGAGACTCATAGGCTATGCGTGTATAGTGGGCACTTAAGCCGTGGTGACAGAAACCCCAGAGGATGAATATTCGTGTTATGATGTTATCACTGGAGACTCTCAGAATACAGGACAGACGGGCAGACCCCACTCCCAAAGGGCAACTACCAAACAAGACCAGGTCCTAGTCACATGACCTGTGGCTGGTGATGGGAGCTCTGTGCTTGTCCCTACTCTAGTGGCTTTGCATAACAGTGCGAGATTTCCCATCCAAATGAAGACATGTGTGAAGATGGGTGTGGCGTGCAGTTGAGACTCTAAAACCAGACAGAAAACTACAGGTATGCTACTGTAGGTTGAACACAGGACAGAATGTCTCAGGCCTGGGGAGATGGCTCAGGCGGTAAAAGGTCTACTGTGCAAGCTGAGACACCGTGAGTTCAAATCGCCAGCATTCACATTAAAAAAAGGGCCGGGGGGGGGGGAGGGGGCAGGGCATGGCCATGCATGTTTCTAACCCCAGCCAGAAACAGAGGGATCCTAGAGCTTGCTGGTATGCCAGCCTAGCTAATTGGGGAGTTTCTGGCTCAGTGACAGGCCCTGTCTCCAAAGGTAAAGTGTCTCCCAGAGGATTCAGCACCTACCCCTGGCAACTCACAACCTCCTGTTACCCCAGCGCCTGGGGATTTGATGCTGCCTTCTGGCCTCCACAAACACCTGGTATACAAACACAGACACAACACACATTAAAATAAATAAGCAAATGCAAAGTGCAGATCTATCAAGGAAGACATCAACCTTGACTTTGCACTGTACATGCCTGCACACGTGCGCGCACACATACGTACACATACCAATTCCTTCTACGGTTCCCTGCTCACATAACACACAATGCTCATCTCCAATTGATGCAACTCAGTAATTTTTATTGCAACTGGAAGACAATACATCACAGAAACTTTATGGTAGGTCCAGGGAAGTGTTATTTACAATAAATGATGAAGTAGTTTGTCTTTGGCAATATGATTACACATGAAGAACGCAAAATGCTGTATGGATCCCTCCCAAGCGACACCAAGTCCCCCGAGCTCAGCTGATGGCGCCATCTCCACACCCCTGCTTTAAGCAAATGCAAGCACCACCGAACATCATTTTCTTTCTCCTTTATGACTCCCCCCTTCTGTCATGATGTTGGCAGTTTCATACAGGAAAAAAAATTGGCTTCTGAAGAAATTATTACTCTTGTAAATTAATTTGGCCTTGTAGATCTGTTGGCCTGGAAAGGGCAGGCGACCCTAAGGTTCAGCCACAACCCTCTCAGGTTTTATCAATGTGGTTTTGTTTTCTGTAAAACTAAAACAAAACTCAGAAATGTTACAGGGTCAGAGTATTAAAAAATGTCCATGAAGCTGCTTCCCAGACACACACAGATACTTTCTCCACGCCCGTGTTCACCACGGCAGGACAGACAGTGGAGATAATGGTGCGAAGCTGGCTGAGCCAGCTACGGCCTTGGATGGCTTCAACACACACACAAAGAATGGCGAATGCATCCGTAACAGAAAGTGTGCTGTTTCCTCTAAAACAGGGGAAGTGGGGGGAAAACCAGGTATGAAAAGATAAAATACAATTTCTAGGTTTGACAGGATCACCATATCGAAGTCTTTTGAGAATCCAATATGGAGTATCGATTATTTGCAAAAGGGTGGAGAAGGCGTGTTCTCCGATTTTGCAAATGAAACACAGTGGAGAAACACTGCTGTAGAGATCTCAAATAAAGAGTCTTGATTTCAATACTAATGAGATAGGAAGGGTACTTGTGAGCATCCCACAGCAAATCAGAAAGGATCGTTCCACAGCGGTCTGATTCCAGAAGCTTGACAGCCCGAGGCAGCACCATAGACATATCCATTCCGGCCATGAAAAGGTGGATCGTTTTTTAAAAATGGTGTTTTCCTTCCTTAATTTTTGGTCAGTGAAGCTAGCACTTGTTTGCTGAAGGGTGGAAGAGTGACCAAGTCACACCCATTTTTCATGATAAAGCAACCGAGTGGACAAGTCTGTGCTTAATTCAAGGATAGCCAGCAGGAGAGAGGACGCTGGGAGTTAGCCACCATGGCTGGCGCGCTCTCACACGAAGAGGGGTTAACAGATGAATTCACGAAGGTGGGCAGGTCTATACAGAACACTGAATGCCGTGTGTAATTCCTCATGACATCCCAAGAAACAGGAACACCACACAATGTATATACTTTGATTTACACATTCCATTACAAAGAAAAAAATAAAAAGAAGACACCATTACAATTTTGTAACTGTGTTAACTGCAATAGAAACCAAAGTCTAGTCTGACAGGTAACTAAAAAGGGTTTATCACGTAGGTTATATAGCAAAAGTGTTGATGTCTATTATATATAGTAGTATAAATAATAAAAAAGTATTATTTAAATTAGATCACAGTGCTGCATCATGTGCCTAACAGTGTTTGATATAGTACTGGTGGGCTGGGACCTACAACACGAAGGACTTAATTGTCAACACTGGCAAGTCACAATCAAGAAGGGACATATGTTCCAATGTTTTCTTTTGGTGGCAAAAAAGTAATAAGAAAAATAAAATTAAAAAACTTCTGAAGATGAAAGAAAAGGACTTCTCTAGAGAAACAAAGAAATCAATTGCAACATCTGGGCAGCTGTGATCCACCAGAAAGAAATGAGTCCCGACCTGAATAAGGTTTGAAAGGGGAAGGGAAATCACACTGAATTTAGTCCAATCCCATATATGGGAAAACATCCCACGCAGGTCACTTGTCCCTAACTCTGGCATGTCATAGCCTCCCCACCCCGAGAGGCTGGAGGTCCCAGAGTGGCACTACTGAAACCCAAATTGGTATATTGACTCTTAGGCTGGGCACCAAAGCCATTCTCTCTTGCCTGGGTACCACTGAATGCAATACTCTAGAATGTTCCATGGTAGGAACTGCTATGAACAGAAAGCACTAGACATGCTGAACGACTCTCCAAAAAAAAAATCCATTCTTGGGAAAGGGTATCAACCCATTCCTCCTTAAAGACCCAGCCAAAGATGGAGACCTGCTTCCGTTGTCCTGACCACAGTTTCCTTACACAGGTGGGTTTGGCTCAGCTCTGGTTTCAGAGAGCCAGCTTTACCAAAACAACTTTTGAAAAATATACTGACTGGAGAAGGGGAGGGAAGTAGGAGCTTGCGATATGTCAGAAAGAAAATCTATGATGCGAACCCTTTCACAAAAGTACTGGAGAAAGAAGAAAGATGACCAAGGATAGGATAAAATATCATGGGTGTTTCACCTAAGAAAAGAAAACCACTGCCTCTTCTCTTAAATGTGTCCGAGGGCCAACAGCCAGTGGTTGTAACGTCAACGGTGCTGATGTGGTCACTGCTGTTTCCAAAGCATCTGTAAATATTGCTATAGTTCCCCATTTTCCCCTCCCCCCCCCTGCCCCATGTGAGTACATGAGATCCTGGAATGACACATGAACCACAAAGAAAGAACACCACACCCCTTTAACGATGCTCAGGTGATCTGTCAGACTAATGGATACACAGGCTAGTTTGAAAGCTAAAAGAACACCTGACGTTTGGGAAGAAAGTCCAAGACTAAAGTGAATTACACTTAAGCAAAATATTCTTTCACAAATAGGCTTGTGCTTAAATTCTCTACTGCTCTTGGGGGGAGGGGAAAGAGAGGGTGCCTCCTGCCCCTTGGCTTGTTAAGGACACGGGACAGCCTCATTCGGCAGACTTCGCTACAAACGTCCACATACACATTGATAACTTTGTTTTTGCCTCAACAGTCAAAATACAGAGTTAAACACAATTGAGCCATTGTTTTGGTTATGCATAATGTGTATGCCTCCAAAACAGAAGGAAAATAGAAAAAGGTACCCTTACTAAAGTTTCCCCAACAAGTCTTCCAGAAAATTCCAACAAAGGCGCCAAGGGAGGCTCAGGAAAATAACACTTAGAAAGCTGCCCGATGAGGTATTTATGCAAAAAGAGTGGTTCTGGGGTTCAGAACACACTTGTATAAGATAGTTTTCTAGATCTCAGAGAGATCAGAAAAGTAAATCACACACACACTGCATCTTGTTATCTCTGAAAGAGGCTTCTGCCCCTTCGGAAAAATGAAACGAGGGGAGACAGCCCACGTGGGGTTTTCATCGGAAGAAGTCCCCTGCCAGAAACAGTGCTGAGTGCTTACCTTTGCCTTCAGTAGAGGTCTGACTCACCATCTTGGGGGTGGGGAGGGTGGTCTTTTGGACGTGGTTAGGTGACAACAGAAATCAAAGTGTGGCTCAGGTTTCAGAGCTGAGGATGGCTTGTGGGGTGTCAGAGGTTTGTGGAGAAGGAGGCATCAGAGCACTGGAAAACACACCTGTGCTCTCATCTAACCCTGAACCCCCAAGTTGAGAGAGCCCAGGCTCAAGGACAGGTGGGGGTAAATCTAGCCTGTCCACAAGTGGGAGTCCCCGCCCCTTCTTTCTGAAGCTGCCTTCAGATTAGGTAGGGGAATGCACCAGATAACCTGTCTTTTCTTCCAGGCGGATGCAGTTGCCATGGTACCAGGTTCTGACAGGTGGGCATAGCTTAAAAGTTCCACTCCTGTCCTGTTTCAAAAGTCCAAGGTCACCTCAATTTTCTCCCTCTCCCAAACATCTGACCCTGAGCCATGGTAGTGTTTTGTTTTCAAAAGTTCCCTCCATTTGGATGGAAGGCCATACTGTTTTAGGGATTTCTCTTTAGACCTCAAGGAACAACAATTTTTTGGCAAAGGTAACTGGAGTTTCTGGCTTGTGTGACATGGTCTGGTTGTTATTCAGCTCTCACTATCTAGGTGGTCTTAGTCCCAGGGCGGTTACTGCTGAAGAAGGCAGAGATGGCCAGAGCGAAATCACCCAGTTGCAGTAAAACACAGGGCTGGCCCATCTAAGCCCATTATCACTTACTTCCTCCTACCCATGTACCCTATCTCTTACCCTCACCCAGTAAGGCCCATTAGCATGTTTCCCCTTCTTCTGGCGAATTTGCATAATTATTCACTGCCTTTTTCCTAGAACCAAATCACAGAAATGATTTTTCTCAAGTAAGCGTCCCATCATTCTCTTGACTCTATCATACACACTACTAAGTTTGCCCTCCAATTATTGCGTCATGTTAAACACATACAGACAAAGGAAAGGACACACTCTTCAGCAGAGAGTCAGGGGGTCGGGGCTGAGTGTGGACAAGGCAGTACAGAGCTCAACCATCCAAGCCCTACCAGAGTATGAAGATAATTTATATTGCAGAGTAAGTTCCCCAACAGTCAGAGTTTGTCCCTGAAGATTAAACCTTAAACACCTGCTTCAAAAAACCAAAACAAAGTAACAACAAAAGGAAAGAAAGAAAAGGAAAAGAAAAAGAAAAAAGAAAGGAAAAAAGGAACAAAAGAACCTCTAAGCCTAAGGGCTTAAAAATTAGAGGCATAGCCTTCTCTCTATTTTCTATATTTATATGAAAATAATTCATGCTTCATGCTAAATACATTATTTACCTTACAAGAACTTTGTTATTTTTGAATAAAAAAAAGTTTGTTTTTGTGGGTTTTTTTTTCTTTTTCTTTTTTTCTTTTTTTTTTTCTCTTCAAAGGAATCCATGCATCGTGGATCAGAAATTTCTGCTGGCTACACTGGCTGAATGTGAAAAATCACTGATTTTTTTTGCAAAAAAATGAGTCCCGACATTAATTGCAAGCCCTTTTTGAGGGCAGTATAGGAGTTGTATTGTTTACCATGTTTTTGCTTTTCATGTCCATCAATGTGCCTTTAACTTCTTAAAAAGACACCACAATACTAATGGCAGTTTCTGTAGCACCCCCCTCCCCCAAACTTGGATCAGATTGTTTAGATGGGAAAGAATCTGTACCATTTTTCCTTTCTTAACAGCTACTGTCATGTCTTGGGCTTGAGTTAAAAGGACACAGCCTGTTTTCTGTATTAGCTTTAAGTCTTGTGTGTCCATGTGCGTGCACGCATGCGGGTGTGCGTGTTCCCAGGCCAACCTTCAGGCTTATGGCTTTGGGGAAGTCTTCTTAATTTAACGTAGAGCAGAATTCAGTGGTTAGCAATGGCTCTAAGAATCCTCCCTGTCTCTCCTCTTTGTCACTGACACCTAGTGAGATGGTTCCAGGTTCAGGCTTAAGAAGTACAGACAACTGGCAGCTGGGCCCTGGGCTTGCTATCTGGCAATGCCGTTGGCGTCTCTGGCACAGTGGGATGCCAGTGCCAGAGCAGGGGTTACCCTCAGAGGGCACCGTTCTGAGGGGCACACAGGGCTCGGCAGTGTCTGGACTAACTCCTCAGTTTCACTCCGAACACAACTGACTTATTAAACCTAAGGCTGGCCTGAGCACGAGGATTCTGCATGCGTGCCTCCTAGGTGGTGACAGAGTGTTCCTGTGACACTAATGTTGACATTCCTGTGGGTTCAGCTACAGGTTTCTGACAGGCTGCAGGAAGCAATGGTTAATTTTGGCTTTTTTTTTTTTTCGGTTCTTGTCTTCAGATAAAGAAAAGCTTTTGTAAAACGGCTGAGTGTCAATATGAGTTCTATGGCTTCAATCTCCTTTAAACATAAAATTCTTAAGGGTCCAAAACCAAAGGAGTGGGGGGCAAATTATAAAAAAAAAGAAAGAAAGAAAAGAAAATCAAACCAACAAAAGGAAAAAAAGAAAAGGAAAAAATTGCTGATATTGCCACAAATCATTAGAAATCTCCTGACATGCTGACACCAAATGGCCATAAGTTCAAAACAAATCAGAGACTTGTTTCAGTTTTTTGTGGTTTCCTTTTGTTCTTTCTGCCCCTTGGCCGTCCGATTGGTGATGTTGTTCAAACAGGACCGAATCCCTGCCAAGTGCAGGAGCGAACCGGCAGCCTCTTTCATCTCCTCATCGTCGCTCTCGGGGGGTTTTTCTGTGCGTCTCTTTTTGAGGGGCAGTGTGTCGCTGGGGACCTTCCTGGCCTTGGCGAAGTGCTGTCGCTTCTTGTGCTGGGATGCATATCCGCTGTCCCCCAGGGCATCCTTGGCCTCCTTCTGGCTGGGTTTCCGGTCATCCTCCTCTGTCTCACTGTGGCTCTCATGGCTCTGGAAGCTTCCCTCACTGCCCTCCTGGCTCCCCTTGGTGGCAAACTCGTAGTGGTCGTCAGCTGAGGAGGAGGAGGAAGAGATGGAGTCGCTGGCCGGAGAGGTGCTTCGAGCATTGGAGGACTTGGCACTACTGTAGTTATGATCCTCCTTGGGGTCACCACTGACCACTGGGGAGCCACACGGCGGCTCACTCTCAGTCCGCATCCGGCAACTGGTGATGCTATTCCTGCAGATGGAGAGGAAACAACAAATTACATCTTTGGGGGAAGCTGGGCTCCTGCAAACACTGCTAGCAATTCCAAAACATGGTTAACAGGTACAGGAGCTCCGCAGATTGAACCCCTGATCCCGAACCTGTAAAGGTGGCCACACCCCTCTGGGCGTGGCTTCAGGCGGTCTTTTTTCTCTTGGGTCAGCCTATCGGTTAGGAAGGGTAGAGAAGCGCCCCGTGGCTCTTTATACTTTTCTGTTCCCCAATAAACACCCATTTATTATTTATTTTGGGTCTAGTGGAACCATTACACCCACGCCTTCACCACCCGTGTCTTTCCTGCTTCTCCCTCTCCACCCCCATTGCTGTGGCTGAGTTGTCAAAACAATCCGTCTTTTACAGCACTGTGGGGTAATACACTGCCAGCCGATGTTCGCTGGGCGTCTCTGAGAGGAAGGCATGTTCTTTTGTGGAACTGCTGCATGAGGTGGCATTTGCCAGAAGGCTAAATACAACATGCAGCAAAGAGTCCTGCTTTGTGGTGACAGCTACTCACTCAGGCATCCTCTCTCTCACTCAATCTGCTGAGCATGGAAGAGAGGGAATGTCACCTCAGTGGACCCAGGGGAGCTGCTAATGAAGATCCTAGCATCTAACAAAACGTTAAGTCAGGGATGGTTCGCGGAGGAGAGGGCAGTAAGTTACTGTTCCTTGGGCTCCCCACCAACAGATGACCTGCTGAGCCCACTGTTGTGTTTAACTCCATCAAATAGACTGTAGCCTCCTTATTTCTCATGGGTGAGAAGCGAGCGCTACAACGTTTGGCGATTTACCAAAGCCATGTAGTAAGACAGAGTTGGGATTAAGTGTTGGGCTACACCACTTGAAACAGCGCTCTCCTGCAATTCCCTATAGCATGGCTCCCTGCCACAACTTCTCACTGGCTCTCCCAGAACCCATTGAGCCCTGGATCACCATTTGGGTTGTGTATCTTTCTGTCTGGGAGGCCACTGACCACCCTATGTCTCCTCATTGGGAAGTAGGGAGAGGGACTGTGCCCACCTTCTGTTGCCTTCCTGATGTGCCTGGCACAGCAGATGCTCAGGGTAGGTGCAAGTCAGGCTGAGGGATGGGTGAGCGCAGGGGGCATAGGCTACTTATAGGTAAAGGTGAGGGGCAGGGAACATTCTAGCAAAAAAATGGCATGATGGGGTATGAAGGAGCACCTGACTGGCTCGGAGGGAGAATCTCGCTCGCTTCCTGTCTTTTCTTAACTCTCCTCTCCTGCCAAGAGGTCCCACTTCCCAGCACATATCTCCTGGAGAGCTTCATTTTCTCTCAGAAGGATATGGGACCCAGCAGAGAGATGAGAGGTCCTAGGACAGGAATCCATCAAGGGTCGCTTCAGGACACAGGCCTGAACTTTAGGGTCTACCCTCCTCAGCCACACCCTGTAGTTTTCCTTTGCTGGCTTGTGCCTTGGGTGAATAACCACGGCTGGCATAGATTCCATGGGAGTATTACCAAGTATGCATGAGAAATGTGTTTAGTTATATAGCTAGCTCTCAGTAGTTATCAATAGCAGATTAAAAAAAGACCTATGTCATATACACATGTTTTTCTGGATCTTTTTTTGTTGAACATAGATGCTGTGAGACAAAAAACAAAATTCTATTAAAATATGAAACAGTTTCTTAGGGAACCCAGAATTGGGCTATGGTTGGCTTTTAACAAATCAATTCTGTTATGAACCCTTATTTATAAATATTCAGTGTGTGTGGGCACAGACATGGCGGTCAGACGGGGGGTCATGCTTAGGTCGTCAGGCTTATCGAGCAAGTACCTTTACTTGCTCAGCCATCTCTGAGACTTAGGCACAATTTAGGTAGAGGAGGTCATGAGACTGCGGCCCTGGCTGAGCAAACACCAGAAGGGAGAAAACCAGGAGATTGGACAGGAAGTAGGGCAAAGCCCCACCGACTTACTGTCTAGTTTAGTGGGTCTGGTTAAGGAGCCACGTTCATTATGTCTTCTTCTCCCCTTGCTTCCTTGTAGGTATGCTTTTTTTTTTTAATGAAAAGTTTGAAGGTGGATGGAAAAATGTCAGAAAGGAAGCCATGAGATACCTAATGAGTTAGCCTTCTAAGTGGACACCCTCTCCTGAGGGAGAACCCATGTCGATAAGGGGAGTGGAAAAATGTGATCTATGCTCGAGGACCCTGTGCTATGGAGGGGTCCACCCAGAACCAGCCTACCTATGATAATGATTCCACACTCAGCTTGGAATATCACCCAGCTCAGCCATCTACAGATAAACAAAATCACAGAGACTCCCAAGACCCCTCCCATAGTAGAGTACTAGTCTTGTTAGTACTCGAACCTAGATGGTTCAGGTGGTGGTGGTGCGCATGCCTTTAATCTCAGAGGCAGAGGGATCTCTGTGAGTTCGAGGACAGCCTGGTCAACAGAGAGACTTCTAGGACAGCTGGGTCTACACAGAGAAACCCTGTCACAAAAACAAACAATAGAACCCAAAACTAGATGGCTCAGCTGGCATTTTAAACATGTGCCCAGTCCCTAGAAGGAACCAGTACAAACAGCCAGAACCTCTGGCTGAGGACAGGCACATCGGGCGCCTTTATGGCGTGAGAACTGGAACACAGCCGGATCTCATTCTTACTTAATGACATTAACTTTCTCTGAGATTTCAGCACAGGTTTATAATCCATAAATTACACACCAAACTCTACAGGGAGTGACAGGCTCCTTCAATTATTAATAACTTGGCACAAAGTGACTCACGATGGTGTAGGCCAGTTGCACTGAGCTGGTGTCAAGTGCCTCCTCCTGCAGGGAGTTGTCACTACAGGACACCAAATGAGTAAAAAAAGAAAAAAAAAAAAAAAAAAAAACCAGCCATCCTGAACTTGTTGGAAGGTGCATTTCTAACTACGGTCTCTGCCCCCAAGCCAAAAACCAAAGCCCAAAGCCATTCATTTAACATTTGGTACAGTTGAAATGTCTGCAGTTTCTTAGTGTTAGCTGAATTTATAAATCATAATCTTCATGATGACCAGATTAACATAAATGAAAGCTATTTGCTTTTACCAGGCTCCTAGGAATTTAAACCATAGGCCCAACAAAGCCATGAGCTCTTAATCTCAAACCTGGAAGTTGTCCACCTTTTTTCAACTACATGAGAAAGAAAGCAAGTGAGACCTCGCAGTAATTCAAGCCAAAAATGATCAATATTTGTAGCTAAGAAGCCGAGGTGCAGGCCTATGCTCATACCATTTTTTCTTACAGTTAATTATTGGTTCTATCCTACTTAAATAGCATAGGGTATCCCAATGGCTCTCAACCTGTGGGTCACAACCCTATTGGGGGTCACTAAAGACCATCAGAAAATAAGATATTTACATTATGATTCATAACATAGCAAAATTATAGTTGTGAAATAATTTTATGGTTGGGGTCACCATAACATGAGGAACTGTATTAAGGGGATCACAGCATTAGGAAGGTTGAGAACCACTGAATTATCTGGTACCCATGGGTTCTCTATAGAATGGACTGTTTTAAACCTACTGGCTGTCATTTGGGAGAGTTGTCTGCACTAGGCATTGACCTGAAGACTCTGACCTCTTGCCAAGTGTGAAAAGCAGACAGAATTAACATAAGGATCACAGAAGTAGGGGACCCAAGGCAGTGTAAGACTTTTCTACTAAAGCTACCACACGCAAAGAGATAGGGCCAAGAGAGAGGCTTTTGACCAGGTGGCAAGGGAGACACATTTAGAAGCAGTTTCTCTGACTATAATACAGATGACGCCAGTTTTGGCGCAGCATCGGATTTTAAAGGCATTCTGAGTTTACTGGGAAGTATGGGGGGGGGGGCTGGCAAAACCAACACTTATTGTGCAAACTTGACAGCCTGAGTTTGATACCTGGAACCCTGGTAGAAGTCAAGAGCCAAAGCTGTGCTCTGACTCCGGGATGGGTATCACACTCATACACATGTATCATCACACACATTTGCCAAAAAATAAAAAATAAAAATAAATAAAACAAGGGTGATCTCAGTGACCCACAAAGACACGCATGTACCCATCCATCCCAACCTATAGTTTCAAAAATAACTTGAAATGTGAGCAATGGGTGAATCAGGAAGCCAGGCTTTCCCTGGAACAAATATCTATCCCAGGACTAGGGCAAGAGCCCATACTGATGGAAGAAGAAAGGCAAGTGTGGATGGGAAACTGATTTTGTCAGCTTCCTGGATTTTATGGTTGCTCTAAGGGAATTAAAATGGACTCAAGCCCATTATTTCCCCAGGCTCCCAGAAGTTTGAAAAAGCAAATCTTCTCTGGAAGAATGCACTTCAAATCCAACCACAGAGAATTCCAACTAATTAGCGTGCAGAGAACCTAGGTTTATAATTTTAAAAACCATTAAGCACAAGGGAAATACTCTACTATAAGGGAGAGACGGCAGAGAAACAACTACAGAACCCAAACTGCAAAGAATGCACATGTGGAGATGAGTTGGGGCAGAGTGTGAGCTTAGTGTTTAAAATAAACAAAAGGTGAGCCGCAGGAGGTCAACAGTCCTGTAACCCTGGTGCTCAGGGGGCTGAGGCCTGAGCTATACCCAAGACTTTCCCTTATGGACTGGAAAACAAATTATACAACACATAGCAGGGTATGGCTAAGAGGTGGAATGATGGTGAGAGAGCTGGACTGGACGTGAAAACTGGGCAGTGGTGCTGGGGAGACGGCTGAACCATAAGAGCTGGTTCAACACCTAGGTAGAAGCTAGAACCTAGAGAGTCTGTGTATAATTCCAGTGCTGGGGGTCAAGGTGGTCATGGGAGGATCATGGGAGGTCATGGGCTTCCTAAACAGACACTCTGACCCAACCAGTGAGCTCCAGGCTCCAAAACACCTGTGTGTGGTGGCACATGCCTACAACTCCAGCACTTGTGTGGATACAGAGAGGTTAGAGTTCAAGATCATC